CCATCACCAATCAAATGTGAAGCGGCATCCTGCTGTGATTAATGGGCATACTATAAATTTTTCAGATATTAGTCGTTGACAGTCATGCAGAAGGGGCATCAACTTGGTAACCCCCAGCCTTTGACAAAGTATTTTTTCAGTAAATGCTATTGTGAATTTGCCATCCAGTCTCCTGTTACTTGAAAAGTGGAGGGAGCGTAATCTTCTCTATTGTCCCTCGGGGTCCCCATTCTTCCCAGCGGCGAAGGATCAAGCGCAACAACTTCAGACCCACCAACAGAAATCCACTGCCTTGTCACAATCACTCGACATCGTTGTTGACAATAATCCTGATTTGCCTTTCCTCACTTGTTCTCAAGTCTCAGCAGCTCCTGCCCACTTTAAGGAAACAAGCACTTTTACTGTGATTGGAAATGACAGCCGAGGCTGAGATTCATCTGCGCTGCACGCAGGCTCACAATTCTCTGCTAGAAATGTTGCAGGAGTGGTAGGATTTAAAAAAAAAACAAAAAAAAAAACGTGCAGTTCATTTACTAAATGGAAACAACTGCAACAATTTTAAGAAAAAGTCTTCTGAGGTCAGCATCCTCCACACGTGAATGAACATTTTTAAAGGTCTTGACTAAATCATGAACCTGACCCTAACGAACCAAGTGCAGTATATAACACTTGAAAAGATCTTTTGGTTATTCGATTCATTTATTTAGATATCGAGAAAAATATCACATCTGCTACCAGCAAACCCCAACTCAGTATTAAAACTTCAAACGCAGTAACTCCTTAAATAGGGCTACTTTATTCAAATGAATATAAATGGAGGGAAACTGATTGTAATAGGATAGAATATGTGCATAAAATATAGATATAATAGTCACCCTTTTCCCTGGTAAGAAAGCGGCCATGAATTAATCATAAAAATAGAGGGGAAAAAAAAAAACACATTAAATGTCAGCATCTCCACTGACCGAGTCGAGGCTAACTAAATACGCATGTTTCCACGAAAAAAGTCAAGCATAAAAAGCCGTAAATAACAAAGTGTCCTTTTAGGCCTGCTAATATAATTAAATGATGTTCATTTATGGAAAAAGGTCATTTTCATCCGTCGCCATTAATATCGTTGCTTGGCTTTCCTTCTTAGACACACGCCATTCGGGCCAGCATGTAATCGTGATTTGGTTTCCATTACGTTAAAAAAATTAAAATGAATCGAATCAAATTTATGATTTCTAATTAAAATAGGTTCATTTCCCAAAACTGTGTTTTTGAAAAAAATGACACTGAACACAATGACTTCATTAGATACAATACATCCTGATTTATATAGCGCTTTCACAACAGCAGCAGCTGGAACGAAGCGCTTTACAAAACAGTTAACATAAAGGTAAATAATAAACACAACACGGGACAGTCGTGCGATCTTAACCACTTTTCCCTCACACGCTTTGTTGTTTGAAGCAGTTCTAGATGAAAGAGGAGAGAATCAAAGTGTCTATTGTGATCTCATAATCATTTGTTGTTTATTTTTCTTGTCCTTTGCACCTCATATATGCTCATTCAACAGAAAGAAAAAAAAAAGACTAACTCTAAATTTGGCTGGAACTGAATACACTGAGTGTTAATTTTACAACACAAGAAGAGGTCTCAGAGCATTTCGCGATGCACTGTCGGATATCTAACAATGTACAATCATCAAAAGTTACATTTTAACCCATTTCTCTTGAACTAAGTGTCAATGCAAAGAAGATAAATTGAAATGCAACTCAGCGGAGACACGTATCGGGGGGGATGGTATTGTTCAACCATATAGACAGATGTTGGATGTAAAAGATGTCAGAATCGCCTTCTATAGTTCTCCAAAAACCCATTAGGCCTCCTTCAGGGAATTCCTAACAAAACAGTCTCCCGAATAAAATAAATAAAAAGCTCCTCCATATGTCCTGCAGCACACTTCATTGTAAAGGGCACGATGGTTGAGAGTGGTTCCTGTAGAACTATGGGGAACGTTTTCTTTTTTTTTTTTTTTTTTTGGGGTGGCGGTTGTTTGTTTTGTACGTCTTGCTAGTATTTCATGGATCCATTGCAGCGTATCCCACATTTATTGTGATTGTATAGCGTTATTGAGGGGTTGGACCTGTTAGCCGCTGAGCTGCCATGGCTGTCCGACTACCAATTACTGAAGCCTGCGTGTGTGTGTAGCCTACCCCGGTGCATCTGGACGTAAGGAGGTATGGGGTGTGTGGGTGTGCTGTGGTCCCCGGGAGACCTGCCACAGCAGCACGCCGTTAATCAATCCGATTTAGACCGGACAGGGACATGCTTAGTCGCTGCTCCCGCCAACAGCGCCATGGTGACGAGAGAAAATGTGTGCGTGACCGGCATCCCACTGAAGTGTAAGGACACAAAAAGATGGATAGATGGGCCCCGAATGAAGAGGGAGCGACGGCGGTGCGAACCGGTGAGGGATGACGGGGGGGAGGGCGTGAGGTGTGGACGAACAGACAATAATTAGTGTGGTGGGTGTGTGGGTGCGTGTGTGTGTGTGTGTGTGTGTGTGTGTGTGTGTGTGTGTGTGTGCGCGCGCCGAATGAAAACAAAGGTGATGTATTGATTTGAATGAAATTACTCATGTTTTGTTTTTTTAAATAGAGCAATTGTCCTCCTCAGAGAAATCGATTGTGTAATGAGTTAAAATGATGAAATGAGGAGAGGAAGCTAATCATTAAATGGAGGACTGATTAGATTTTTCTTTGTAATCACATGGAAGTCGGAAAAGCTTAATGACTGCTGGAGATGAGCCGAAGTTTCTCTACATTGCAGAAAAAAAAAATGGGAGGTCTGATTTTTTTGACTTCTCATTTAAAAAAAAAAAGTGTGATGGAACCATGGGGACCATCACAAAATGTCAAAAAAAAACCCAACATGGCAGACAATTAGAATAAGGGAATGTGTTGTTCGTGAAATTGTGACTAGATTATTTGACTTGATCAACCTTTCCAAAAACAAATCTCTCGTGGAGAGAAATGTACTGAAGTTTTTTTTTTTCAATTTAATTTTATCCTATACACCAATATAGTTTGTGAAGCATCAGGTGTCATACAATATACCGTAATTTCCGGACTATAAGCCGCGACTTTTGTCACACGTTTTCAACTCTGCGGCTTATTTCATGAAGCGGCTTATATAAAGACTTTTCTAACGGCCGCCTGTGGACCGTCTTTCTTTGTAAATATCTCATGTTACAATATGGGCACCTGCGTCTTATACACAGGTGCGGCTTATGTGTGTACAAAATATTTTTTTCCTTTAAAATGGAGTGGTGCGGCTTATAATCAGGTGCGGTCTATAGTCCAGAAATTACGGTATTTCATTTGCCAGTTTTCAAGAATACAACATTAGTCCGCAGAGTGGAGACAGGAATGAGTAGTAGTAGTCAAAATATCGTAATTTCAGTCATTAATACATATGTGCTTTTATTATCCTCCACAATCGTGTGCTTGGAGGGCTGTTTACTCACCCAATGACGCTGCAATTCATTATAAACCGATTCGCTTACCGAGGAAGGACCGCTCATTAGCATAATGAATACAGCTGTCCTATCTGCCGTCGCGGTGACAATTTTTTTTTCTTCTCCTTGAAATGTGTTTAAATAAATCCTTGGAGGAAATGTGTCTGATTCTGAGCGGATGGAATGAACATGACAATACATTTAGCAGCTGCGTCGGCGGATTCAGGTGCCTTCACGCTGGCCCTAATGAAAGCTTTTTCTGGCGTGTGGGCCCATTATGATCTGTGGACAGATCATTAGATCTCATTTGTTCGCAGTTGTGTAAACACGTGCCTTGATCATCAGTTGACGCCGCTTCTTTGGTGGTTATTAATGTGTGAGCTCACAATATGACGAATGAATGCTCACAACTGATTTTATATTCTTGACGAACGGTGTAGCGGTTCACTCGCCTGACTTCTGTGCTGGGAGGGTGGAGGGTGATGTTCCCACTCAGGGCCAGGGAAGGGTTAATTTGCCTTTTGCCCAAAGTCAGCTGGGATAGAGGTCAGCTCACCTCAAACCTTCAGCAGGATAAGTGAGGTAGAAAATGGATGGATGCACCTTCTCCGATCTTCATGAGTGATCCCACAAAATTTTAAGAACAATAGGTCTCATTCATGGACAAGGTGGCGTGAGGTTTATTTGTATTGTTCATATCGTAGTGAAAAACCATCAGATTAATATATCGCAAAAGCTGGAAAAAAATGGTTTGAATATACTTAATGTGAACATATACAGTACATTAGTTCCACATGATTATAATGTATTAAACTAGCAATGGTTTGAATATACTTAATGTGAACATATACAGTATATTAGTTCCACAGTTCTACATTATTCCGTGACTTTTGAGAATTTGTGTCAGTTTGCTGCATTTTAATCACGTTCAAATGAAAATGAAGTACTTTTTTGGAAGTGTTGAACTCAAACCTGTGCCACTTTTTGGACACTTGACTTTGGAGGTTTCAAAATAATTCCACACATTGTTTAAGTAATACCTTGGTCATATCGAAGATTATCATATTTGGAAATGGGGATTTATTTATTTTTTTACAATACGTTGCATCATATTTAATTGTAGAACAGATGTACCTAATGTTGTGGCTGGTGGGTGTACAATGTCCAGAGGTATATTCTTTTGTGGCTTGACTCTTCCAATGTTATTTATCTATTTATGTATTTATTTATTTATTTTACATGGGCAGGAATGCAAGTGAGATGAGGCCACTTCAAGATTTCAATATGGATTTAAAATGGCAATGTTACCTTGGTATAGATGAGAGTAGTCAATGTCTGTTGAAAATTGGAAAACACTACAGCATATATATTTTACAGCATGTAGTAAAGTTGTTTCGGTCGCCTGTTTCTATTTATTGTGACACCGCAAGCGAGAATTGTTTTCATCAGTGTTATTTTTTTTTTCAAGCTCCCTTCTTCTCCCCCATTTCCCCAGGTGAGGGCCAGTGCCATCGCCCAAGACGCAGACCAGAATTACGACTACGCCTCCAACAGTGTCATCCTGCACCTGGACGTGGGCGACGAAGTGTGCGTACAGCTGGACGGCGGCAAAGTTCACGGCGGCAACACCAACAAATACAGCACTTTCTCTGGATTCCTCATCTACCCCGACTGACACGTTGCTCTCGCTCGTCCCCGTTCTGCATCTAACAGGCTGCGATTTCATCATGCTGTAGGTCGGGCCAACTCAAAAGAGAATATCCGGCAAATGAATATCTAATTGTATTTTCATCAGTTAACATTTACCTCAGACAAACACCTGGTTCGTTGTAATTCTGTACCATGAACAGTGTCTTTCACATTTGCTCAGACACACACACCCACACACGCGCGCACATACTTGCCTACATGTTACACGAATGAAGATATCCACCCATCAGGAGTGCGTGTGCGTGTGCGTGTGCGTGTGCGTGTGTGTGTGTGTGTGTGTGTGTGTGTGTGTGTGTGTGTGTGTGATATATATAAAATGAATATATATTTGTGGGAGCTGATAATGTGTCCATTGGCAAAAAAATAAAAAATATCAACAAATAAATTAATAAGGTATGCTTGTGTTGTATGACTAAGTTCAAAGTCCAAGCACATTTCCATCCAATGTTTTAGTTTGACCTACACCATCACACATCACGGGTAATAGATCAGTGAATATTAAACATTTTGGGGCGTGGTAGGGTTGCTGATCAAAATATGCCTCATTTAAAACATGGCAAAAAAGTGTGTTTTTGTGCTGAAAATAAAACTCTAAATATGACACAAAATGTTCACCATGTCTATTGATTGGTTTTTGGTTTGATATTTCTCCACCAAGAATGTAGCAGAGAACAAAATGGTGCCATGGAGATGTTTTGTTGTTTTTTTTTTTTCCAAATGCCATGCTAAAGGGAATGTTTGGATTGAGATTGTTGTTTTCTGGGAGTGAAAAACATTCCACTTTTTATCAGGTCGTTGTAGTGAATATGTGCCCTCAGTTTGTAAATGGTTTGTGTGCCTTCTTCTGCACAAATTCAGCAACAATGACAGCATTTCAAAGAGGGTAACATGACCTCGCGTCTCAAGTGAGGTTCGTTTGAAAGGTTCATCGAAAAATCTGCGCAAAACCTAAAGATTCAAAATTGTGTTTACTATAGTCGTCCTTATGTAGCTTTGAACAGAACTTACTGACGTTACTTTGCTTTAGGCTGAGCTAAGAGTTGTATTGCTCACAGTTGCGGCATCTGTTTCCTCATCGAAATCAAGCAAAGTGAACACTCGACTACCTATTTTCATTCATTTTACTTGTGAATGTACTTCAGTTAAGGTGTTTTTCAAATGCAGGTGTTTCGAGCATACACAAAGGGTTTCTGTGCCTTACGCGCTCTGTTTCCCTTTCATCTTTCATGCATGAGACTGTTTCTCAAATCCAAGCTGTGCGGACAAAGCTGATCCACGTGATATAAATAGCTATCCGACAAGGATTTTTTTTTTTTTCGGGGTGCAGTCCGTGCCGGTGTTTGACATTTGGGGGGGAAAACGAGACATTAACCAGGGACTGTGGATCTTTGAATGTGTATGGTATGGATGTCATTCGTGTCTATAAACCAGATGAAAAAAAAAGGATGGGGGTTCTGTCTGTGTCGTAGCAGAACAACAGAAGCATGTCATATTTGAAAAATTTGCATCAAAAAATATAAGATGCCAATGTATCCAAATGATTATATGTAACTATGAAAACCGAATTTCATCGCGACACATGCGTTGTGTAGCACTTGACGTGGCGCCAGAGACTTTTGGGCGCGTGATGCTTAAATAGCCTGACTGTGGATGTGAATCTGTTCTGTTGAAAGTCACCATTCCGCTGTGAGACGGTGGTACACGAACATTCCTCTTTGGTGCCATTCTGCATCCGGCGGCGTCTTCTGCCGCCGTCACCTGTGTGCGTAGCCATTGTTGTCACAGTACTTTGTAAGCTTCGTTCTACGTGGCAATCTCAACACTTGAACAACATGAAACACAATAAATAATAAAGAAAATTATAATCTGAACACCTGTTTTCCTTCTTTTTTTTTTTTTGTATGTTACAAGGCGAGGCTTACTTATCGGGAGTTTTTTTAGATTAGTTCTGAAAAAGAGACAAGCATTTGCCCAAATTTACCAAAGTACAAAACAAAGTAAAACCGGGAGTATCCCACTCCTTGAAAGATACTGTCCACTGTTTTCTTCTTTTATCTGTTTGAAATTGAAGCATTAAAGTAGAGAGTCAAGAGGTTCTCACATTTTAGGTGTGGAGGGGCTAGCCATAAAAACAAAATATGACGATCAAGTTGTAGCTGCACTTTTTATATGAAAAAAAATGTTCTTTGCTATAAATCATTCAGACAGCAAGATCTAGCTCTCTCTCTCTATTTTGTCAATTAGCTAGCCAGCTTTATCCCTCTATCTTGTCAGTTAGCTAGCTAGCTTTGTTTGAGATCACATTGCGTCTTGCGTTTCCTTTTTGAAGGGCCTTATGCCGTATTTGTGTTTTGTCTTTTGTCCTTTCTACATGCTTAGAAACAAATAAAATAAAGACAAATGAAAACAAAGAGATGGATCTTTAATCCCAGTCGAGAGTGCGAACCATTGTGGGCGAGGTTTGAATGTGGTACAGATGAGAGCTTTCTGAGCTGTTGTTCATGGGGGTGTGGGGGTTGTCATGCCCCTCCCTCCCATCACCCCTCTGTGAATCCCAATGCTCCTCCTTGCAGATTCCAGCGTTAAGTTAATTGGACAGGGAGTGAGGGTTGAGGAGGGAAGCGTTCAGCCCCATTAGCAATCCCTCTGTGGCAGGTCGATCCGAGAGGATCACAGACTCACAAATAGACGGATTAAAATAATCAATAGGCCTCTCTCTCTCTCTCTCTCTCTCTCTCTCTCTCTCTCTCTCTTTCTCTTACACACACACACACACACACACACACACACACACACACACACACACACGTACATCTGTGAGTCTGAGGAAAACCAGTTGCGCTACACTTTTCAATGTTGTCTTTGGACTTTTGCAAATTGGCTTTGGTCACACTAGTTTTCACAATCACCTCTCTCTCTCACTCACACACACACACACACACACACACACACACACACACACACACACGCACACACACACACGCACGCACACACGCACGCACGCACGCACACACACACACACACACACACACACACAGTTAATTTGAGCCTTGCAAAAATGAAAATAAATGAAAAGGTCAGTGAGATGAAAATAATCAGACTTGTCTTTATGCTGTCTACATTTCCTTTTATTTCATGCTAAGAATATTTCAAATACCGCGGTAATTTATAGTTGCATACAGTATGAGAGTATATCCTAGTACATTTGTGAAAATGCATATATGCTGCAATACAATACAATACATCCTGATTTATATAGCGCTTTCATGACAGTTGCTGCTGTAACAAAGAGCTTAACAAAACAGTTAACATAAAGTAAAATAATAAACACAGCACATAACATAAAACACGGACAGTAGTCTTTTCTATCATATGCTTTGTTGTTAAAAGCAGTTTGAGATGTAAGAGGAGAGAATCAAAGTGTCCTTTCACCAGTGGGTCAGAGACGTCATGCTCAGAATGTGCACACGTCGGCTACAAGCTAAGTTTCAAAGTCAACAAGAAGCTGTAGCGTCCACTGACGAAAAAAAGAGATTGGTTTACTTCTCCTGTCCCATGTAAATCCGTTTCAATTCCAAGCGGCGACTCTCAGTTCCAAATACGCATCTGCGCTCCGCGCCGTTGCTCCTCTCTCCTCATCCTCAACTTCAGCAGCCATCCATCCAGCCGCACCAACGCAGACTGTCCAACAGCGTCGACATCTCCACTGAACAAAACGGGGCTGTGAAAAATGCAGCCCATTACAGGCGCAAAAAACACAAGCGCCCCGGGGCTGTCCAGCACCGATGGTCAAATGGCGCCAACATTCCTCCCAATCAAAATCTGTGCCGGTTCAGGCGTGCTGCCGAGAAGGCGCAACTACCAAGCACAGCAATGATGAAATGTTTATTATTATACAGTATGTTAAGAGCTCTCGTCGGTTAAAATGTTTTATAATTGGTCCATAGAGGTTTTATTTACTTTTCGAATTGCATGACAGGTTTGATCAAATGCTCCTGAGGGGCGTCTCGCCCCCATAGGCCCTAAGTTCCTCACCCCTGATTTAGAGCATTAGCATGAAATCTAGCATAATGTATGATGTTCTTTTGTATGACAATATGTAATAATAAACCACCATAAATTATACTGTATATCACTGGTGTCAGGTGGAATCCTCATACTTCCAAAGTCATCACTTTTCACGAGACCCAAAAACGTCGTGATTGTTCAACCATTAATATTGCATCGTCGAAGAGAAAAGGCTATTTTCCAAACTTTCGATTCTTCAATAATTTATAAAAATAAATTGGCTTGAAAATGGCTCGCACTCTTTGACGGTGCAATATTAATGGATGAACAAATGTGATAATGATGATGATGATGATGATGATGATGATGATGATGATGATGATGATGCAAATCATTCATTGATCAGGACAGTCATACACACACACAAAATAAAATGACAACTCCCACAAGGGGATACAGTAGGCCAAAACTCACACCAAGAAGCTCACACGCAGACCAAGTTGGGCTACTCTGAATTCAGCTCCTCACATCACTTTCTATAGAGGCCATGCCCCTTAGTGGCACATAAACAATACTGAAGTTGTTATTGTTGTGACTTTCAGCTTGTTGTAATGTACAGTAATTACACTTCATGAAACCAGTTATTTTCTATACATTCTCATATATTGTCGTCACTATCAGGTATAATCCTCACACCTCAAAACCGCTATTTTTCAGGAAATTAAAGGAAAAAAACCCCACCAGAATGATTGAGTTGGTATTGTACTGTACCTTATATTGTTATCATACACAGTTGTACACCAACAGTAACACAGCACCACACCATAGTCATCGCTAAAACAATGCTGTTGATTGATTAGACTGTTGCGTGGGAAAACGGATAATTGCTATTTTAATTCATTTCAGTGGGGTAAACTGATTTGATACAGGTCAAAAAGTAAATTAAATTACAGGATTGGCCCGGGAAATAAATAATCTTGCAAATTTGTCTTGAAAATGCATTGTTCACAGCTGCTTTTTAATAAATAAAAAAAAGTATTTTACTTCCTTGCTTTTTATTTGCGATTTAAAATTTTACTGCTTTTATGTTGAGGTTTATCTTGATTCCCGTCTTTTAATTTAATCTGATGCCGCTCGTGAAAACCACATTTTTGGACTACAACAGCGACTCTTG